TGCCGGAGACAGGGTATGTTTGTGTACTTGCCTCCTTGTGATAGCGCGGATCCGATGCCGACTTAATAATGCTATCTCACTGAAATACCATGCCGAAGTCAATCCACTATAAAGATGTATTAAAATATAACTATAAAGATGTATTTAGAGATAAGAAACAAGAGCGTCGATGTCGAAAATGAACATCTTATATATCTACAATTGTTATCGAAAATGAAACATATGTTTCTTTACGTGCGATGTAATACTGTATAAATGCGATTCTTTTGGTTAATGTAAACGCGAAATTTCTTGCGTGTGGAAATCTTCGTTTCGTGACGGTGTGAAATTTTGGGGTTGGCAAAAGATCAGAAATATGTTCTATACTTACAATTGATATTATCAATACAACCAATTCCATGTAGTCAGTCGTCATGTTTTATTCTGTCTATACTTACCTATTTTACATCTTTTAATAATTCTATTAAGTATTTACATATATTTGCGCCGTAATTTAGTAAACGCGAAAAAAGCATACCGCGATAACTTTTGACTTTTACAGTAATATATATGGGAAAACCAGAGTGCAGATATCCGAGGTTTAAAAGAACTATACTTTTGCAGTATACGTTTATCGATCTGAGTGCCAATTGCATTGGTGTTCGTTATAAGCAACACATATAAAGAAAAAAAGATTACAGAAAAACAACTTTCGTCTTTTGACCTTAGATTCCCCCACATCTCCTTCGTGCAACGCCGGTATGACCATTGACTTTATAATAGTACAAAGAGATTTGTTAGAAACGTGGGCTAATGACAGAGACGCTACGCAAATGTCAGACGAAACACAATAATCTTCTTAAGTTGATAAGAAAGGGAGGACAGATTTTTTTTGTGACGTTAGCAAAATGCCTGTTGTTAGGATACAAACGGTTTTGCTAAGTTTCCTAAAGCCTGGTTAGCTTTGTTACAAAATTTTATTATCTAATAGCAGTAGGATTTTTTTTTTATTTTTTTTTTGTCTTTTTTTTTTTACAGTATGGTGTATACCTGGCTTCGAAATGATGAACCCATAATGAAAAAGTTATACATCATTTTGAATTATGGGTTATGTTTTTTATAGAAATTGGGGGAAAATGAATCAATAGGGTTCAAAATGAAATAGCTGAATTACTTGCATATCTTGTATAAAAGATTATTATGTAAGTTAAATTACAATTAAGGACAGTTAGTTTTGATATGACAAAAAACTGCATTAATTTTGTGTTTCTGAAATGTTTGCTTTCTATCTACTTTGGGAGATTTATAAACCGCTGACTAGGCTATCGATTTCCCCTGCCCGAGAGAATCTTATTACCGATACTCAAACACAGCCGAACCTACATACACATTTGGACAGTTTGCTGGGATTACTCAATACGATCCCGTGTTCACCATAAAGTAGACTTGTTTTGAAAGGTTTGTCATTGACATCGGTCTAGAACTAGCAACAGTGTTCGGAAAATCGATCAACGTAATACACACCTAATTCCACATGGAACATGTTGCCAAGTTAAACGGTCGTATTTGATGCTATTTTCCCAGTATGCATCCGACCTTACATTGATTACCGATACGTTCGGTTGTATGTGTTATATCATCCTCACAACAGGTTCAAAGGTTAAATTAAGACGGAAGTGCCACTGATAGGTCAATTTAAAGCATCATCCCACTGAAATGTCATGACCTGAACACGATAACATAACACTCGTATTCGGTCACGTTATACTAATAAGGGGCTAACCATTTTTTACCTCCAACTTGTTAAAGTATGAAGAGACCAGCTAAAATCAATAAGTCACTCCTTGTTTGTCACAGTTAGGGGACAGAACGTAGGACCCCCCTTGCTGAGATGAAACGAAAGAAGCAAGTTGATAAAAAGGAAAATAAAACGAACCAAAATGTTGCGATGTCTTTCAGTAGGTAACAAAGTTCTATTTTCCCCACCGTAACGCAAATTGACAGAGTACACTGACATTCAATGTGTGTGTCACTTGCCAATCACTTGCAGCAAACTTGCAAAAACAGCAGCAAAATGTTTGTAGTTTACAATTTGGAGAGAATGGGCAAGTAAATGCTCACCATAATGATCTTATTTGGAAGTATATTTTTGTGGTCGTCATCGGGATTTCGCGGGAAGTTTTGTATGACTTCTTTTTGTGATGTGAAGGCTTTTGTTGCACTATTTGGGATTCTTTGTTGTATAGTTGTCACCTACCGGGCTCTCGACGTGAGGGCGTGACATTGCTGGGATTCGCATGGCGGGTGTCGTCGATGTTGCGGGGGACGCTTGCCATTCCGGAGCGCCTGGTCTTGTGCTCCGTGTGGGTTTCCGGGTGTTTCCGTGGGATCTTTTCTTCGTTCATATTTCACCCTGTTTTTTTGTGGAATTCGTGTTTGGGTTGTGGTTTTGTTGACACTTCAACATTCTCTTTATTTTGCGCTTAAACTACTCTTGTCTTTTATTATACTCATTTGTGTGTCTTGTCTTGTTGATTAACATGATGTGTGTCGTCGATGTAGCATAAGACGCTTACCCTTCCGAAATATCTGTACTTATATTCCTTGTACTTTTTAAAGGGTCTCCATGTAAATGATTTCGTGTTCATGTTGCGGTTTTGTACTCTGTGACAATCTTTCGATGTTTTCTTTTTTTCAAACTTTCAAAACTGACAAATTTAAATCTGTTAATTGAAACAACAAGTTCTGTTGTAAAAATCATTTCATGATTATTTATTTTTTTATTGTTTAGGATTTTTATTCCATAAGTTATTAACAGAATTGCATCTTCGAAAGAAAATGACAAGATGGTGGGAAGGGAGAATGGGGGCTTGGCGTTCATGGTGTTTATAAAATGTATTGTTCTATATATGGAAACATCGATTTATATACTCCTGCTCCTCATCAACAGGATTAGGGACATGTTGACACAAAGCTGTCTGATCTAATTGAAGAGACAAATTATTGAAGCTTGGGTTGGAGAATGAAACGTTTGATCGAGCGGGCTCCGATTTCCCATCACCGGTCGATGTCAAACCAATTGTTTACGTCATCGAACCACAGGTAAAACTAAAATCGTTTTAATACGTTTTTCAACGGACTTCATTGACATTTGCTTTCATTGCAGGACAAATTATTGAAGAAAGGAATGGTGATTCTACGGGAGGGAATGAAGAATGATTTAGGTAAGAAATGTAACGACACCAATCGGTGAAGATTTCCAATTACAAAAGAAGCGTTATCGTGTTTTTACCATACGAATGTTGTTAACATGTAACTGAATACACACACAAGTAATTACAACATGGAATGAGTTACACCTTTAAGAAAATAAAGATAGAAATAACAATTCCTTATTTTAAAGAAAATCTTTTAATGTAGAAAAAAATCAGTTTTTAATTTTTGCGTTTTTCGTAGTAACAACCTTTCTGCAAAAATACATCCCACGAATTTAATAGTTACTGAATCCCCCTTAACAATAGTTTTACATGTCATATTCATTATACTTGATTCCCGGGGGAAATATAACCCTCGAAATTGAGCATTTTAGTAAATCCGTGCAAATTAAGGACAGACAGAAAGACATTTGTCAGTAATCAATATGTCATGGTTTTACCGTAAATCAAGCCATATTTTCGTTTTCAAAGTAGAACAACTGTATGCATAAATGAATTACAGAAATAGCAAATAATCAAAGGTGGATAATCAAAGCTTGATCATCCTTATTTTCAGCTATTCATATTTCATTTAAGGGTTAAATAAAATGATAAAATGGAGAGCTGTTTACAGGGTTATCCTGCTTTGTATGATAAAAGAGACCGCTTCTTGTCGCTTCATATTTGGTTTCATATTAAATTTGAATTGCTTTCTTTAATGTTGATATATTAGAAATTGGCGAAAAGCCAACGCTAGGCGACAAGGCAAAATGATATTTACTTTCTCTGAACACCAATCTAAACTACAAATATTGCCAGTGTACAAGTGAGAACGCTGTAGGAATCGTTCAAATAAAGCCGACCACGCAACATGCACGTGCCATACAAACGACTTCACGTAATGTTGTACAGGATTGTTCATTGCCTTTTTATGTACATCTTGGACTGATGCTAGTCGGCTACGCAACCTGATTTCCTGTTCTATAATGTTTGGGAATAATGTTCTTTCGGAACCTGTCAGTTTAGCAATTTTAATATATCGATTCCATTGTTTATGGACTTAAAGATGTCTGGTTAACGTTTATGTTCAGTCCGAACAGCTGTTTTATTGTTATAACTGAAAGACATACAGGAAACTGTTTGCCTGTGTGTTGTCAACGAGCATGTTACATGCTTGATGGTCATAGCATGTCCTAATTATAATCAGGATTGTGATGGGACATCCACCGATACTAGTAAATACGATGCACAAAGTCAAAAGTGTTCTAATGTCAGCGAACTTTAAGACACTGCCAGTTGTGTTTCTCAATGATAATATTTGTCGATGCATTCTCTTCTTCTCTTTATATTATACTGCTCTGATTATATCTAGTAATTTTTTAAGCAGTGGCGTTTATGTTATAGTTCAGATATATCAATAGTAGTCAATACTAAGTGCATGTACATGTATTTATTATATTTGACAGCAGCCATTTATTCATTACTCTACTCGTCTTGTCTGAGACATTTCATGATAACGACTTTCGAACGTTCATATCACGTAGTTGAATTAACAGTGATCTTATTCTGTCTTAAACCTACATAATACTAGTACTGCGACATTAATTTCTGTTTCAAAATCTCCATTAAAAAATGTTTATTCTTTAATAAAGCTATTTTGTACTAGGTCGATTTCAGATTTATTTTTAACACATATGTAACTATATGGAATATTAGAAAAATAATATTACTTTCCTGTAAGGGATCTCATTCAAATACTGGGTAGTTGTTTCAAGTAGTAAATAGTCTTAAAGCATAACTGTTGCAATGCTTTTATACCATTACACATTCTTATTTATTCAATATTCATATGCTGCATACACACGATTTTATAATACTTATACAAATGGCTAAGATGGATAGATTTCAGTCAAAATACTCTTAAATCAATACATCATAAAGTTAAAAGTTAAAGATAGTTTCCAATACAGGTGCCGATAGAGCTCCTCTTCACTGGACTCAAAAATTAAACAATTGTATAAAATTAAGTTAAAGTTCATTGTTATCTAAATTTACCCTATAATTTTGATAAAACTCTTCATTCTGCCAAAGTCCATCTATTCTGTTCTTAAAATTATTGATATTTGGAGCGGATACAACGTCCTCCGGAAGGTTGTTCCATACGTCATACGTCATGAATTACCTTATAGCAGGCTCTTTAATTTCTAGGTTCTGTGTTATTAAAGAAGATGGGCGAACAGTGGTCGTATCTTCATGCCGAGATCCTCCCAACGTTACAAGCTTTGTTTTATCCACTTCCTGTAAGTAATGTCACTCCAATGCTATCCATCTGATCCTTCTCATTATACGTTACTACAGGAGCCTCGCCTAACAATCAATCGTACATCTGGCAGTCACCTCGTTGCCATGGCAGTAAATTATACATAGTTTGACACCCTATAAGCGTTCACACACTTGCTAGACAATACTTGATCGTTAATGGGGATATTCAGTGATTGCAATACTTCATTTATGTATTTATTTATTGATTTTTTGATTATTTATCTATTTGTTTATCAAATTGCGTTTTGATGAATCAGTAAACTTACATCTAAAGTAATCATCCTATATCACTTTGTCATTTGTCATATAACGGTACGCGATGACCAGTTGTTTTTAACACCTACATCCTCTGACATGGATATGGTTTTATTGTTTTTTTATATTACAGACCAATGATTCCTCTATACGAAAAGTGACATTTCTAGAATTCCGAGACGTGGTCGTCCTTAAAGTCGGCATAGAAGGTAAACACCGCATCACGTGACAGTCAACTGTTAGCACGTTTTTACTTGTCATGACACGCCCACTTGTATTGTTTAATCAGACATCAAGATATCAAAATGACAGCATCGGGTGTCACTCAAGTCGAAGTAAACCATAAACAAATTGTATGATTTTATCATGCATAGCATTGTCCTTGTCTGTCGATACAAGAGTGATTTAGTACGCATAGTTACATGGTTAGGTAACGCATGTAAGGATACGTCTATCAAAATTTTAGTTTGTCGGATCAGTTAAGCTCATTCGTGCTAATGATATTAGACTAGGAATCTTTCAAATCGTCTATATCATTTGATATAGATGATATATTAGATATACATCATATTATATATAATTATTGTATATGATCATATTTTGCAAATTTATTTTTACGAATAATAGCTACAATTTATGGATCGTTCAGCATTTTCATATCAAACATTTTGTACGATACAGGAAGTCAGTATCCCTATTGAATTCCGTCATTCTTAGACTATACTAAAGAACCTTTTTACAAAATGACCCCGGTGAAATATCGTTATGTCAAGCAGATGTATATCGTCTCATCGTATATCATCTCATCTCATTGCAACTCACTAAAATGGACATCAGATGCAATAAACTAGTCGGGACACGTATAGCAGTGTCCCCGGTCGCGACCAGACGAAATATTTATTCATGAGCATATGCATGTCATAAATAACAAAACATTATGTATCGTCCTTAACAGTACCGCCAAATGCTTATTCTATATCTACGGGTTTTATTGGTTGATTTGTATATAAATTGCTGTAGAAATTTTTTGCCGCATAAAAAACGAATCAACAATGTATTTGATGTGCAAACCTTTGCTACATATATCTATGTGATATATGGCCTCGATGCAGTATACACAGCATGAAAGGTATTTTTTTTCTGCATTTTATAAACTGGCAGACATATTAGAGGCAACTTGAATATGAAGACGGGTAAATCAAATGCATGTCATATTGTAACCAGTATCTGTACACACCTAGACAAAGACACACGGAACATAATTATGTATATCACCGAAACATTTTCTATATACATGTACTCACATCGTACTGTTTAATGGACAATCCAATATCTTTACTATTCGTTGAACTTTAATGATATTTAATGTAATGTGCATTGAAAACTTGATAAATGTAACTGTTATTAAGTAAGACTTGGATCACGTACTTGATAAAGACAAATACATTCGGCATGTTATGTTTCTAGTTTTATTGTACCAGGAAAGTTAAAAGGAAAAAAAAGGAAAAAAACATCTTTAATGCAAGAAATATATCTTTCTCACTCAGAAAACTACCAACACGAGCTACTAAAACCCTGTAATTTTGTACATTTCAGAGTCGATAGGATCTGTTTTATCGGATGAAGTTCCTGCCTCAATACGACAGATGCTTTTAGTTTTACTGGTAAGTAAGACCATAAAGAACGTGCCATACATAAACGGGTTGATCAGTTGGGCATCCCAGTAATACAGTAATACAGTGTTACAGTAATACAGTGTTACAGTAATCCAGTAATACAGTAATACAG